AAGTTATGAGGATTTGAGCTTTTGATTAATTTTCTGCATGTTCAGCTTGTTGTATGATTCAACTTTGATCTCTCAGGTCGAAATATTTCGACTTTATGTATATATACCAGATAATCATTTTTGACATTGACCTGTTTGTAGAATTTTATTGCAAAAAAATAATAATAATAAATCAAACTTTACATAAAATCTTTTTTTTTTTTTTCAATTTATCATTGAAACAGAAATTCTCTTTCAAAAAAATTTAATATAGATTCTCCTCATTATCTACATCTACATCTACATCTACAACATTTTTTTTCTTACGGTGGGATGACATAAGAATTTTGGCAATACGCCCTATTATGACTATATTAACAAAATATTTCAGCCGTGAGAATATATAAACATTTTTATGGTATTAAGATTTTATTTAATGATTATATAAGGAATATGTTTGTTTATCAACCGGTTAAAATAGATCACGCTTAATTCGCAATTTGTGATAAACGTCACCAAATACAAAAATTATTTCGAAGAGGCGAAAGTCGAAAACCAAAATTAAAAGTTTATGTCAAAATTAAAATCAAAAAGTCAATAGTCAAACATCAAAACTAGTTTCGACTTATGGCGAAACCTTTTGACTTTCGCAATTCTCTAATTTTGGAAACTAACACTAGTTGAAATAACAAAACGTCCCACTTTAATTGTGAAATGAAACCACGTTCACATTATCGGCTAAATGCAAGTGAATGGAGAATAAAAGTGAAACACAACTAAATTGATTTACTAACTATTGAAATATTTGTAATTATAATTTATTGTCATCATAATTATCATATATTTGCTTTAGTGTTATTAACTCTATTATTATTATAGTTATTGAAAGATAATATAACAGTTGATTCACAAGAATTGTTCATTATTTTTTTTATGTATTTAATCTCTATCAAAATCTCTATCAAAATCTCTGGTGGGCTGTTTATAATAAATAGGATTTAGTAACATTGCACCAATTTAAATGTTAAAATCTGGTTTGAGACCGGTTGCTATAAATTTCTACCGGATTTTCAAAAAAATGAACTGATTACGACGATTCTTTACAAGTACTTTTTGATTTTTAAAATAAATAATTTATTTCTTACAAAAATTTTTTTTTTACAAGTTTTTACAAGATGTAATTTTTTTACAATAAAAATAAATAAATAATAATGTGTAGTGTAATGTGTGCGTAACTATGCTTAAAGTATAGATTTAATAAATATATTGTTTTTATACATTATCTTGGGTTTACCAAGCACCATCAGTTGCTGCAGAAACAGCTTCTGGTAAAGTGAAATGGAAAAAGTTTTTTTGTTTTTTATTATCAACTATTGAAATAGTATTATGATCAGAATTATCCTCCTCATTGTTAATTCTAGTGATTGCTTCATTAGATTGTGGTGAATCAATAATATTTTTCTCTAAATCTTTATTTTCTTTTGTTGGAATATGTGCATTACTTTCTTTTTCATCCTCCTCCATTTGTCCAAATCCACCATAAATCAAACTTTTCTTTATACTTTTACTTAGAACATTAGCAAAATGATACTCGACTTTATGCCCAGAATACCTATCTAATTCTTTCCTAATATCTATGATACTTTGTAATCCGGTTGAATCCAAGGAACTTATAGCAACAAAATCAAAAACTACAGCTTTCAATAGTGGTTTATTTGAATTTTCTATTTGTTCTTGGTTGTCATCCCTATAACTAGAATCATTCCATGGTCGATCACCTGTTTTGGATGGTGGTTTATATATTCTTCTCGTTTTGCTTTTGGCGTAATCAAGTATTTGATCGTCTATATATGATGCGTTTGGATATATTAATGCTTCGTCGATTCTAAATATCAATACTCCATCAGGTGGTGGTTCTATTATTGATTTGAATGATTTTGACTCTAAAGGCGCATAGGCATATTTTTCTCCAGAAGTTGAATCTTCATTTATATCATCTAATTTGATTCTTCCTAATGATTCATATTTTGGTCTTGCTAAACGTACTAATAATACTAACGTTGATAGAGCAACTGAGAAATAAATTCCATACTATACATATAAAATAGTTTTATAGAGATATATAATAAATTAGATTATTAATGATTATACAATATACATAATATAATCTTATAATGATGACGTTTTACTCACCTCAACGGTAAAAAAGAAAGTAAAAACAACAGCTACAACAAATACAAGAAAGTCCCAAACTATAAAGAAATAAGTAGGAAAAGACAAATGTTAAAAAATTTTAAAATAAACAAAAAAAATATATATTATTAATAATAATAATAATTACATTGAGCCTCCCATAATTGAAAGACGTATTCAGGACTAGAAATTAAGTCGAGTACAGCATGAAAAATAACCGCACTAAAAAATTAAAAAATCAGCAATAAATTAATTGATAAATTTTTGACAAGATATTCTTATAACAATGCCACAACAATAATATCAAATAAACTTACGACAAAACAGCATCAGGAATATAATAAAAAGCAGGTGTCAAAACATACAAGGCCAACATTACCAATATAGCAGAAAATATATCAGCCAAAGGAGTTCTTACACCTGATTTTGATTTGATGGCAGATCTGGAGAAAGACCCCGTTGCAGGATACGCACCAAAGAATGAACCTACAAAATTGGTTATGCCTATAGCAATTAACTCTTGACTTGGAGTGACTATTTGTAATAATAAAATATTATTAGTTTTTTTAATTTTTTTTTTAAAAAAAAAAAATATGTATTAAGAAAAATATTGTTTATTTACTTCTATAATTATTAATTCTGCCAAAACTTTTAGCAATTGCGATATGTTCCAAAATTAAAATAATTGTAACGCCAGGCAAATATGGAGCAATTTGTCTAAGAACGTTGGAGTCCAATACTGGAACTCCAACGTGAGTAAATCCACTAGGTACATCTTTTAAAATTTTAAAAGGATTTTTGCTTTGTCCAAGTCCAGCCAAATATGCAACAAATGCACCTAAAATGACCACAAAAATATTTCTCAAGATTCCAATGAAGAAAAAGGCTCTTTCTTTTGATGGGTAACGTTTTGCAAAATATCTTGTTCCGTATTTTATTGAATACAAACACACTAATCCTGTTATTCCTAAAGCTGCATCTATTTTAGTACTTGGCAAATTTTTAAAAGTTTTTCCAACTACTATATAAGCAGGTTCTTTAGAGTCAACTCCAGATATATTGAGTATTTTGTATACCTGTATGCATGTGAGACAACAATGATAGTAATAAAAAGTTTTGTAAATAACAGAGATATATTAAAAGCAATAATTGATATCTTTTAAGATTTTACCTGGCCAATAGAAATGGTTAACGCAGATCCAGTTGTAAATCCTGCGATAACAGGAGCAGAAATATAATCAACAAGAATTTTTCCAAATCTTAATAGACCAATTATCAGAGCAATTATGCCACTCATGAAAGCGAATGCAACAGCAAGTGTTACAAGAGGAGCTGCTGGATTGGCAGGATCTGTATGAGAAGCTTGTATAGATGCTAAGTTTTGACCCATTAATAAAGACATTACAGCAGTTGGGCCAATTGTTATGTCCTTTGATGTAGAGAATAAGAAATATATGGATACACCAACAAACGATGAATACAATCCATATTCTGGAGTCAAACCAACCAGAAGAGCATAAGCCATTCCTTGTGGTATGACAACTAAACCAGCTGTCATACCAGCAACTGCATCTCCATACGAC